TTATTATTATTATTATTATTATTATTATTATTATTATTATTATTATTATTATTATTATCATAAATAAGTCTCTTATTTCAACCGTGTAGAAGTTTTGGCCCAGTTCAGCATGTCCTAATGTGACAGCCAGTGTATTTTGTTATCATCAATATATTCATATTTATTTATTTACTGTGGCCTGTCGTGGCAAATTAGCCAAGCAACATGATGGTGGGTATGGTTGCCTTCCAGTGTTAGTGGTAGATTTGATCTACTAAAAGGCTTTACCTGGAATATTGACTCAGTTGACATTATCAAATCAATTTGCTTTATCTACAATTCTGCATCTCCACATATAGCATTATCTGCTGAGTTTGGACACCGGCACTCTTTTTCTGCTTAATAAGGTACTGATGAGGTTATCGCTTAAACACAACAGCATGTGCCGAAGAAATGTGGCTATATGCTCAACAACTATGATTAAAAATTAGGGCTATTCCTAACAAAAATTATTTCTGAATGCTTTCTAAGTGAGAAAAAATTATGGTGTGATATTTAAAATAAGATGTTTTATCTACATTTTTATTTGATCTGATCTTTTTTAGTTATTTTGACAATTTTTCACTTCCTGCAAATAAATGCCTAAAATCCCCTTTTTTTTTTTTTTTAGGAATTTTTGTTACAAAATATTACAACATTTTTATTTAAGCCATACACATACCTTTTACATATCAAAATAAGAGAAACTATGTTTTTTTTTTTTTTTTTTCCAGAGATGAATTTACAAATCATCAGAAGGTGAGAACATTCTTTTTATTTTATGACATTTTCTGGATTAATTGAAATCTGATTAAAATGGAAAATAAACACTCAATTCTGGCCCCCGTTCTTTTTGCACACACGGCTCCTAGAAATAGCACTTAAATAATTCAACATGAGTTAGTAAGAGTGGCAGAATTACCTGCTGATAAAGCTTGGGTCCAACCTCAGAGACGGCAGCCTGCACTGCCTTCCTCACAGCGAAGCAGTGATAAGGCTGAAAAAGGGGAAGAATATCATGCAAATAGAAAGCAGACAGCAGCCACAACAAGCCCATGGGGACTTTCCCCCCCCCCCCCCTTCCTCGGACAGATCGCACACAGTTCACACTAAAGTGCTAAAGCCATCACTTTGTTAAAGGAGTCCCCCTGGAGGTGCGAGAGTCTCCATGATAGCACCTAGCACTTTATTCAACTCAACACTCCAAAGTGCTGGAGAAGGCACAGTAAATTATAAAGAAAGTTGATGAGGAGTCCCTGGATAATCCAAGTCTGAGCAGCAAATGCACTACAGAATATTGTGGGATGTTTACTTACCTCCTCATCCTTCACAAGCTCTTATTCTCCCACAGCGGGAGGAGGGAGAGGAATCGGGTCTGGGAATAAATTGATTTCAAGGGAACACGAGTTGACCTCTTGCTATCAGATGGCTTTTCTTTGACTATGAAAGAAAGAAGAGAGGGTAAACAACAATATCTGGTGTTTGGCACTTCAAACCCCCACAAAGTAGGGGGAGTACTTGCTGCCACATGAAAGTTTGCTCATTATCAGGGAGGTTTTGTAAGAAGAGGAAGAGGGAGGGGTCCTGATTGTGTACCTGATGTGGGCTTTTCTTTCTGCTTGCCTGATCACAGCTCTGCCTCCATCTTCCCCTTATCCTCCACAGCTGCGGCTGCTCCGGTGCAGGCCGAGCCGAGAGGGAAACTGCGGATAAAAAAAAAAAAAAAAAAAAAGTGGTCAGCCTCCCTCTTTTGAGCTGTTTGATTATCTGCATGCTTGTGAAGACCAATCCTGCTCTAATGGCCGATTATCAGATTTAAGATAAGAACAAATCTGGAAATTCATTTAGAAGGATAAGTGGGAATATTATTGTGGAAAGTGTAATTATGTTTTATAATAATAATAATAATAATAAAGAAACAGATATAAGCAGTTTAAATACAATCCCCAGTGAAGCGATAAAATTGCTATTAAGGTTTTTCTGTAAAATCAAGCAAACTCCATTTCAGCAGAGTTGATCTGCTGAAAAAATGTTCCATTTATTTTACTCTTGGTAAATTGTTGATAAATAATAATAAATTCTACCAGTTTAAAATCAACCCTCGATTCATACATCCATCTGCTGACATCCCATAATCAGTTATTTGTCCTACATCCAAGTGTGATCATCTTTGTCTTTTTAAATTGTATCTTTTTAATCAAATTCCCTTTCCTTCACAGGTGTTTCCTTGTATTGTGAAAGGCTGCAGCAAAATGTGCCAAAAGGTGTTTTGTGAGAAGAGCTAAGGTTCCATTAGATTTCATTATCAAAGATCTTCCATGATCATTTCTGGCCAAAATGTGATAAAAAATAGATGTGATCTGATCATTGCGTCCAATTTTGTCTTGCACAACAGCAGAAACAGTTACGCAGAAAATTGTCTGTTAAAATTGAGTAATTTTAACAATTAAAATAGCTTTAAAAATACTCTTTTTAAAGCTCTCTTGTTGAAATAATTCTAAAAGAGTTAAATTAACACAAATCAATTCTGAGAAGGACCAAATAGACTCGACACAGTGTGGATTTAACACTGCCAGATTGGCTGTATACAGACTTTATCATTGTTATCATTGCAACCAATCAACCAGATGGAATAAGTGAAAAATAACACAGCAGTCATATGGAGAGGTTTTCAAGTTATCAAAGTAGTTTGGTTTTATGACATTTAAACATAAACCATACTGTATTTACCAAATGCATAATAATAACACAATTGTTTGATTTAAAATAGAAAAGCAACAGCTATTCGCACGTCTCCTAAAAAACTAATAATATTACAATGGGGGTTTCATATATAATTTATTTAAATGTGTTTTGACTGCAATGCATGCATAGGCAAAAGTGTAGATTAAGCATCTACTAAATTCTGCCAAATCTTGCCTTGTGGTCTTTACAGAATAAAATACATTTACCAATCTTGTATTAGTCTTAGCTTGCCAATTGCAGTTTTAAATGTCTTTAAAAAAAAGAAAGAAAAAATACCTACAAATATTTCCAAACTTTCTCTTGTTAGTCAGTCTGCTGACAGTCGCCACACATCAACAGGTGGACCTAATGCTTAATGCCACCTGACCCGCTTTGTTCTCGTGCCTCTTGTGATGTCACTGACACAAATGCCAACAAAGCAGAATTAACAGCTTTTTACCACCGTTCAAGTTTGTAAAATCCTACTCTGTGAATCCATTCTTCATTGCCCAAGTGTGATTTTATTTATAGAGTACATTTGTTACGAAAAGAAAAAAAAAAAACGGATAGTATCTTTAACTGCACGACGTGGAACATGCCGAGAAGCTCCTCTGTCACCATCATGCACCATTACCCTCAGAGTCTTATCTCTCCTTTGATAAAGTGCTAATGACAAACAGTTTAAGGTTGTAAAACGGTCCAATTGATTACAGTTTAAAGATGAATGCGTTTGAATTAGATGGCATTTTGTCTAATGAGGTGCCTTTACGGCTGCGACAATACACAGAAAATGTGCTTAAGAGCAAAGGCAACATTATGATGGGATTGCTTGCAGAGACAATGGCGACTTCAGCATCACTTCAAATGAGTCACACTGAATGTCTCAAATAAAAAAAAGTATAATTAATGTGAATAAAGTTTTTTTTTTTGTAGTCTAAATATGTGACCTATTTTGAAGGTTTGTGTTCTGAAAATACATTCAGCAAGTGCCAAATGAGTTGTGCAGCTCTTTAATCATTCTAATTATACAGTCTTTATTGCTCCTTAGGGCAGAATTGTGTGTCTTTGTCTCAGTGGGAATTATTTTGGTGAAGAACCAAAATATTTACTCAACCACAACCTAAATATTACGGATATCAAGAGGAATTGAGATATAATCCCCTCATAGAGCGCAGTATTAACTTAATCACATTAGGGGGAAATACTATTGATAGTGGTCATGATCCCTTGGTGAGGAGAGCTGCAATTCACAATGAAACACACAGCAGTGCACAAATACAACACAGAGTGGTGTGTATCCAACATTGTGGACTCATACAGGCAACTGGGCCTGAGGGCTGTGTAGGTGTGTGTGTGTGTGTGTGTGTGTGTGTGTGTGTGTTTGTGAATGATGGTGAGAGAAGAGGAGTGATTGTCAGCTGAGTCTTCGAGGACCCGAACTGACAGATACAACAAACTTTGAAAGCACATTACCCAGGGAGAATGGCAACACAGAAGCACGACGAGTCCGCCGGGGCTGATAAGACCTTCATCTTTAAACCGTCGCTTGTCAAAGTATTATACGTAATCTCACAGTGCAGAATATCTCCGCACCCCGAGGGGCACACAAAATAGCGGCGGCAATCAAATGGCTTCCTGTATCATTAAAGAAAAAAAAAATAACAGTAGCGGCCTTTCCTAGCCTTTGAGAAGTCAGATTTTTGAACTGTGATCACTGCCACCTCCCCCCCGGGGGGCAAGCAGCAGGGAGAATAAGTATTGAACATGTCAGTTATCTCAGTAAATATATTTCTAATGGGGCTATTCACACAGGATTCATACCAGATGTCAGTAACAATCCTTCAAGACATCTCTAGTACGTAGAGACGAGTCGCAAGCATTTGTCAGGTGTGCTACTGACCCATTCTTCCTCATAAACTGTCGTCAGATGTTGAAGGTTTTTCCAGCGCGCTGATCGTCAGTTTCTTTCCACAGATTTGGAACTGAATTCAAGCTGAGTAAAGCGGCCATTTTTGCAGCTTTATTTTTTTCCTAAAACAAACTGACAGTTTCCTTGGCTGTGTTTGGGATCGTTTGTCTTTACTCGTCTTCAGATGTTTATCGAAAACGCTAGAGTACATTTCTCCATTAACCTTCAGTCATAAGAACTCCCAGAACCAACCTGCTGAAAAACATCACCATTTTGTTTCCACTTCCAAACGCCACGGTGTTTAGAAGCCGAGTGGCTCTTTGAACTTGGTCAACTCCTCTGTCCTACAAGGAGAACGTGATCATGTCTGGTTTGTGGTTAAATGCCATATTCCACTCCTGGATTAAGGCTTTTTTTTTTTTTTTGGTTTTCGCTGGAAGATTCACGGAATTAGAAAAATGTTTTCCAACAGAAAGACCACAAAGGTCTCCAATGGGGGCTTTTTTCTTTTACCATCATAATAATCATGACACCTTGGCAATAAGAAACCTTTTATTTTCAGATCTCTTCATGGCTTTCTGTGCTTTTTCACAGCTTCCTTTCATCGCCCCTTAAGTACTTATTCTCTTATTCATTCTAGTTTATTAAACTGAACTTCATTTACAGACTTTTCTTTTTCATGTGGTTGACTTGGGATGTTACCGACATCTCTGTGTATTAGATCCATACGCTGAGAGAAACAACATTGACGTGTTCAACACGTATTTCCCCAGCTGTATGTTTCCGTTTACCTGCAGGCAACGAGATGACTCGTCCCATGATGGACTATTTTGAACAATTTAGGAGATACATTATCGCCGGGCTTTCTCTTCCTCATTATTTCCTCCCTTATCCCCGCCGCATCACTGCAAAGCCCCAAATGGAGAGTTGTAATTACCCAGACTGCCACCTGATAGCAGGCCCCTTTCTATCAGCTTTATCACTGCAGGTCCTGCTAACTCATCACAGAGACAGAGGGGAAAGAAAAGGGGCCTGCTCGTGGCACAGATAGCTCATCTCTAAGATACATTTATAGTTTCAACTGGGATCAGAGAAAACTGATGCAGCAAGGCAATTTTTTTTTCATCCTTTCCTTCAACCTCACAAAGACTGCTCTCTCTCAGTCTTCTCCCAGTCTCTCGCTCTTTATGTGAAAGCTGAATTGAGGCTGCTCCCGCAAACAAAAAGTGATCCAATCTCCTTGAACCTGTGGCAATGCAGCAACACATGCTTCTTTTTTTTTGGTCTTTCATAACGGCGGTGGCGTCCTTCAGAGGAATGAGAAAAGAAAAACTCCAAAAGGTGACTTGTTCATCTTTAACATTGCACAGCACTTACATTAAATGCTTTCCAGGTTATTAACCACCTTTGACCCTTATTTAAATTTCCCTCCTGTTTTGAATGAGAAATGAAGAATTCATCAAAAACATTTTTCATCTCGACTGAAGAAATCAATAGAAACAACGCTGAAAAGTTGGGAACAAGGGTCAACATTTATTCAGTTTATTATTTTTTTCAGGTACATGAGTCTGTGAAAGTGAAAGGATGAATACAAGCGCTCCCAAGCCCGCCACAGAAGAAAAAAAAAAAACAAAAAACTTTTGAGTTACCCAACTCTACCATGTTGCATAAAACACTGTCTGTTGTGCTTTAGACCTCGAATTCTGTGACTTATAAAAATAAAATTATATAATTACACCAGAGAAAATAATGATTACATCAAGTATGAAGCAAAAAACTGCGTCCTTGACGAGGGGCTTTTATTAGTAAACATTTATTTAAGTTTGGTGTAAATGTCTCTGAATTTAACACGTACTTAGAATTAAACTTACATTTAGTGAAATGTCTTTTGCGCATTATTTTCACCTTCATGAATTGGGCTCGCTAATCACCCGACGGCATTTAACGGGGAAAGTAATCCAATCGTTGATATCGACACTTCTAATAAAAGTTTATAATTACCTGCCGATTCAAAGCGGAAGCATGGGTTAGTGTGGTGCAGGCTCATAGA